CTTTAAAAAATCTCACAAGGTACAGTTTCCTAGTTTAGCAGAAATAAGGACTGAATTTCAACAAGGTTACATAGTCTTCTTCATGTCTGGTGGCTAGTAACTGATGAATATGGTTATAAACTCATATAAGCAGGAAACTTTTGCAGTGTCTATATCACTTAGGAAGAGAAAGGTAGGTCCACAAATACGTGGAGGCTGTAATAAAACACAAGGTCAAGATCTACAATAGAAACGTGTCAGAGGACTCCTGACCTAATATTGCCTTAAAAACGGCAAAATTGATTGAAAATACATAGAGTTGTAAAATATTAACCAATAAATAACATAGTTATAAAATTGAGGTGTTGGCTATTATTCAATTGTATTAAAATAAATACACTAACTTTTAAATTAAAGGGAACAGTAGTAGAAAAAGATAGGAAATTATAGTTTTATTTGTTAGAGGGTGCTAGGAACCATTTGTTACTCCTTGGAATCATGCTTTAAAGAAGGCAAGTATTTCCTAAATGACAGATTTTGAATGAATGATGTAATGGGTTTATCTAGAAAAGTAGATGTTTTTCATGCTAGGTAAGTCATAAAATTTTGCTTAATTTATGTATCATATGGTACAGTTTTTCTATACTAGCATAATATGATCTGAATATTGGTCCAATAAATGGAGTGTACAAGTCTCATAACTATAACTGTATGAAGGAAAATAGATCTAAATGACATACTGGTTTTGAAATTATTTTTTCATACCTGGGCAATACCTATTTTATAATTTGTATAAAAGTATGTTTTGCAATGATAATGTGTTTTTATTAACACTTATTATGGATGTTTTTATACTCAACATTGTAATTGCTGCTAAAACAGCAATATTTTTTCCCAAAACTATATTTTCAACATTTTGATGTGATCTATTACATGCTTTTATTTTTATAAAATTAGAAGAGTTTACTTAAAGAGCTTTAGTGGTAAGTTGTGGGGAGTAGATGAAGTTCTGAACGAATGTATATTGTTAACATGATTATGGTCGTGTCCATGTCAAGGATGGCAATGCCTAAGACCCATGGAAATGGCCAAGCTTTCCCTGAGGCTCAGGGGAATGGCAAAGCCTACCTTTCATCCAAGAACAGATGTTAAGAAGATTAACCTTTAGCTAATACCAATGTGTACAGAATCTATCAACCACAGCCTTTCTCTAGATAGCTACAACCTGAATTTGCTCTTGCAAACACCCCCTACAAAGATTTGCTAACATAGCTCTTCCTCTTTCAGCTATGTTATAAATCTACTGCCTTGATTCAGATGAATAAAATAAGTGGTCTGAGTTCCTGCGCTGTTGGTATATTTTCACCAGAAGACTTGACCCACTGGATCCTAGCTTTTCTGCATATGTGTCTGTAAAATTGTTCTTCCTTCATTTCCTGGTCACCCCAGTCAGGTTTTCAGGACCCAGCCACAGCACGAAGTAAACATTTGTATATTGTGAAATTTCTATTAAAACCTAAAGATGTATTCAAATTTGTGCTGGAAATCTATTGGCATCTTGTTTTCATGACAATTAAAAATCAAACTATTCCTTTCACATTGTGATTATTTTCAATGGTTTTTTTTTTTAGCAAAGACAATAATCTGTGTATGTATGTGTGCATATAAACTAAATATACACACATCATACACACATGCACATGCATATCAATGTGAAGAAAAATGGTCCCATAAAGCTTAACAGATTGAATATTGATAATCCTAATAACTATTTTTGAATCTATACCTACCTGATAATATTGTTTAGACCTTAATCAGCACTTTGTAATACAATATTTATTTAGTTGCATAGGAAAGTTTTTGTGAGATTTCTTCATTTCAAAGGAGTAGAAATGACTGTATATTCTGTTTTGGAGAAACTTGCACATCAATGTTAATTGTTGCTTTATTCACAATATCCAGGAAATGGAAAATATACAGATGTTCACCAAAGGATGAATGAATGATGAAAACCTGCTATATATCTATTCAACTGAATATTATTCTTCTATTAAAAACTGAAAATTTCACATAAATGTATGAGGCTGGAAATAAGTATTCTGAGTATAGTAATCCAGACCAGAAAGACAGACACCACATATTGTCTCTCATAGTTGGATATTTTAAATATAAATAAACATATATTTATATTTAAGATTAAATTAGAGCTAGAAACTAGTAAGTAGGTACATGAGACTTCAAAGGAAGGGGAATGGAATAATGGTATTTAGGCAGTATGAAGGAATAAAGGAAATAACGGAACAGGGATTAAAACATGGAGGAACATGAGAAGTCAGAGTTTATCATAGAAGATTTTAAAAACACCACATGACAACCTGCTACTGTAGAAGCTTCCCAAAAATAGATATATGGTTACAAAATGAGTTTAAATGAAGTTGTTCTATAATAAGGATAAAGTGTCTCTCCCAGACATCATAGATTATCAAACAAAAACTCAATTAGAGATATGGGTTACCCTTTTCAAATTGTTGCTAAGTGGTATCTTATAGACATCCCAAACATTACAGGCTCCTTAGTACCCTCCAGAATTTTGTTGCTGAAGACATCACATACTTTTGCGATAGGGCATTGGGAATCTGAGATGCTACTGATCAGAAAGCCTTCTTTGTATTGGCTAGTTTTCATAGTTCTACAAGATTTCTATGCCTGCTGCCCAGATAGAAAATGAATCATCAATCTTACCAAGGTGTGAAAACTGTGAGCTACAAAAGCAACCAGACAGGCAAGATAGGACTGCCAGAGGAATAGTGGCATGAATGTCAGTTTATACCTGAATTAAAATCCACTCCACAAGACTGAATCCAGGCCTGGTCCAGTCAACTCCACCCAAACCCATGTAGCTCGTTTAGTCATAGGACCTAGGAAAGAAATGACTATTATACTGTTAAAAGGACAAAATGATAAAGTGACCTCTAAATTCTGATTTTTGTGCCAGTAGAACAGTGTATCTCAAAACTGTAGTTAGAGGAGCTTCATTTTACAATACGGTGTGATTAATGCATGCACACAACTCACTAAGATGCAGAGATTAAGAAATTGGGGAGTGCTGAGGATTTAATGGGACATCCATATCCTATCCTGTTCCCTCAAGGTTCAGGGTCAGTTATGGAAGATGGGGCAAAGATTACAAGAGTCAGAAGTAGTAGACCTCTGCAGTGTAAGTATTTACTGGACTTGGAAGGGCCATTAAATGTGTGAACTCACAGCAACTCTGACTGGCTTCGTAAGACCTCCACTAGATCAGACCATTCAAAATCCCAGTGGGAGTTGGGCAGGGGCTCATGAGGCTCTATGCCTAGAAGAAGAGATATTGGTAACTGATGTCTGGTGGGGAAGAGAGAGAGGAGTTTTCTTTAGGAATCTGGCTGTAGAAAGTGTATTGTCCTACACCACACAAATACAGGCAGTGAAAACTGGACTCAGTGTGTTAAAAAAAAAGAGCACACAAAGTTCAGAGGGAAAAAAATGTCAGTTGATAGGGCAAGAATTGGAGAGGAGAAAGTGAGGGGTTGAAGTTGATAAAGTATGTAATATGTAAGGTGAAGCTCTCAAACAATGAAAATCAAATAAAGGTTTAAATGAGTTTTAAACACACACACACAAAAAATCAAATGAAGTCAAATGAGAAAGAGATGTGTGGTTCTCTGTTCCTCCTTTCCCTCCTTGCTGAAGCTTTCTTTGTCAAGGCTAGTGTTTTACTTAGAAAATTAACACTGTTAACCTGTTGGTCATTTCTTGTGGTAGTCTAGCAGGCTTCACACCCCCTTATTTACATACATGAATACATTATAAATCATTATATTCCTATAAGAGAGGAAATGTGACTCTTGTCTGAGTCACTTCACCAAGTATTATTTTTCAGAACCATCCATTGACCTGCAAATTTCACAATTGCGTATTTTTTTTCTCTAGTTGAATGAAATTCCATGGTATATAACTGTCAAACGGGGAGGGGAAAAAAAACCAACTTAATATATTTGAAAAGTGCCACGATGAAAAATACTACTTTGTATGTTGAAAGAAAGTTAAAAATTAAATGTACATGAACGAAAGAAAGCGGTAGGCTGAAGAGATGGCTCAGTGGTTAAGAGCACTGGATGCTCTTGTAGATGATATGTTTAGTGACCAGACCCGCATGGTCACTCAAAAGCATCTGTAACTGTAGTTCCAGAGGATCTGATTCCTTTTCCTGAACTCCACAGACACTATGCACACACGTAGTACACAGCAGACATTCATGCAGACAAAACACGATACACATAAAATAACAACAATCAACATAAATCAATAGAATAAAAGCAAGAAAGAAGGTAGGTTAACCCAGGCACAAGTTATAAAGAAAACATATAAACAAACCTCTCTGGGTGATTGTAGCTTATCCAATGATAAGCTTTCAGTAATGAAGGGAATTTAAGATAAAATATGACTTCTTTTGGTCATATTCACATTTGTAGTTCCCCAGCAGGCCTCCAACCACAACCTCTTACTCTCATCAATCTTTACTAAAGCATTTTTCAGAAAGTTATATAGAACCATAGATGGTTTTTGGAATCACACTTGCAGGTCAATGTGTACAAGCTTCTAGTTCACAGCAAATAATCGTTCCTGATTTTAATGTTTCATGAAATTGGAATACAACTGTGTACTCTAAATCACCAGAAATGCAGAAAAAAAATGATACTGTGAGTTCTGAGGTCCATGTGAAACACTATATAGCCAATCAGTTTTTTAAAAAATCAGAAAACCAATATTTTTAAGTGTTTGTCAGTTACTATTTAATAAAAAATTCAGATGTTTTATGCCAGTGTTTATACTTTCTTAGTGGTTTAAATTTTAAATATGCTATAAATAACTAGTATTCACATGTTCAAAAAAGGCTAGCCTCTCCTCTACACTGTAAGAAATGTGGGCAACAAGGTGTGCAATACTGGATATAATAAGAAAACTACAAAACTTCTGACTCAGTCTGATTTTCTCATTTAATTGTTCTTAACAGAGCAAATAAAATAAAAACAATCTAATCTCTTTTGGACTATATAAGTGTTAGATTTGTATTTTAGAATAGAAAGAATAGCAGACACAATTGTCCTTTTTTTCTTTTTTCTTTTTTTAGTATCATAAATATATTTTTACACAACACGCACACAGACACACACATTATATACACATACACACACAGAGAGAGACACACACACATGTATGTATGTGTGTGAGAGTATTGTCATATATATACATATTAACCTGTATTTCATTTTTTTCCCATGAGCACAGACATATGAGATATCCTATATTTCTCATTATAAACCACTTCATTTGCTTACTTATCAAACTGTGAATAGGGTGACCACTGAGTACATACTGAAACACTAACATGTTTGAACACATTGTGGTGTCTTGAATTTCTTTTATGGAAAGATGGAGACAACTGACCAACCCTCAACAAAATTTGATTACTATTTGTATGCAGGTAGCACAAAATCATCAATTAAAACAGTTTACAATCATCACACAGCATGGTAATATGCTTTGTGGAGCAGTTTTGTTATCTAATTCAAGGTAGTCTAGCATATTACCTGAAATCTAAATAAGACATGGGGCAGACACTAATTCAATGGTGGTTTGGTGGTTAAGAGCACTTCCTGCTCTTACAAAGGACACTGGTTTGGCTCCCAGCATCCACATAAGATATCTCACAGTGACCTGTAACTTGAGTTCCATGGTATCTAAAACCCTCTTCTGGCTTCTGCAGTCACTGACCAGAAGTGGCATACATAGACACATAGGAACAAACAAATAAATGTTAAATAAATAAATGCATACATACAGGAAAGAAGAAAGAGAAGGAAGGGAGGAAGGGAGGAAGGAAGGAAGGAAGGAAGGAAGGAAGGAAGGAAGGAAGGAAGGAAGGAAGGAAGGAAGGAAAGAAGGAAACAGAAACCATAAGTTCTGGTAGGAGAGATCTCCACAGATAGTCGAGTGTTGTCTGTTAATCAGAACAAACAAACAAAAGAATTCCTTCATTTGTTATTTGAAGTAATAGCCCATTAGCTACAGGAAAACAAAACAAAAGTAAACTAGTTTCTGCAGATTTTACCTTTCTTGCATATAAGACAGCCATTTAATCTTTCCCAAATATGATAAATTACAACAATTTCAATCACATGAATTTTAATACAAAAATTATAAAATCAATTTCAATTTTCTTCATATACGGAAACTGTTTGGACAAAAGGACTAACCACAGGCCATATCTCTTTGTCTGTTAATTACAGGTATCCAATGCAACCTTAAAATACTGAGCTTGACTTCCTTTTTTTTCCAATGGGAAGTTAGGAATGTACTTCTTCCCACAGAAAATTTATCAACAAGTGCTCAATTAAATGTTTTAAAACAATGAGCAGTGTTCATTTTCATAGAAATAACCAGAGAAAGGATGAGTTTTACCTCTACTTTCCCACAGCCCTACTTACACAAAATAGTCTGTTGTAAAGATACCACATCTATGAGGAGGTATTAATTGTAGAAATACAGCAGTCAGTGAGAGACTAAATTCCCAAGAAAAATATCCCAGTTTATGATTGCAACCAACTGCATATTCTCAGAGATTCTTTAATGAGAAGCTGTCTCATCATATAATGAATTATCAATTCATGAATAAGTGTGTACAGTTGGCAACTGTGTTTTAATTATCATCCAAGAAAAGAATTTTCTCATTTTAAATTATTCACATCACTCTTTTTGACTATTGGTTAAAATCGTGGAGCTATGAACATTGAAATATATGAATGACAGCAGCTTGAGCTACAGAATGATATTCAACCTCAAAAGTGAAAACAAAAATACAAGGGTGTGTGTAGTGAAACTGCAATAAAAACTGCTGAGATGATCAGCTTTTTCTGTGACCCATCACATCCATGGGTTGCCTTCCAAAAGACAAACGTAGCAAAAGAGGAAGATAGGAAACCTGAAACAGGAAGACCTGCTTCAGAAACTCAGTGTACTGACAATTTGGCTAGGAAGTCCAAATGCTGATACTCCGAATTATCAGCCATTCTTTTTGTGTTTTGGTAACGCATATTCTCATGCAGTGTATGTCAAACGGAATTTTTTGATTCACATCTGACATTTCAAAGTTTCCGTTTTTGAAGTCCCCCAGTCTTAAATAAGTATCGCATTGTCTTATTTGTTTGCTTAACGTAAGTTTTTCCCCAACATCTAGAGCTCCATGGTGCAAAATGTCGTTCTGTCTGTCTTCTGTTCCCGTATTCACTTTAATTTTTTTAATTGTAATTGGATTTTCAAATATAATGACAAATGTATCTCCTATTGAAGGTGGCTTTCCCCAGAAGTACTCATCGACACTGCTATAAGCCTTGCTTGCTTCATAGTTTTCAAAGACGTTCATGTTGGTGTAGAGACTTGCGGGAGGGTTATCGGGGATGTCGAATGACTCCTCTTCAAAGTCATCATCCTTCAGTTTATTCTCAGTTCCTTTATAGGATGAGTAATAGCCCATGTGCTGAAAGAGAGAAGGTTTAAACCGGATCACGTTTTTCTGAGCCAGTAGACCTCGGAAATGAGTCAATAGCCAATCACAAGGCATTTCTTGATAAAACATTAATAAAAAATGGGCCAGACGTGGGAGATCATGAGAATGATAGAGTTTACCAATGTACCCAAGCTTTGAGAATTCAAGAGTTACCCAGTACGTTCCTTCTAAGGATGCAATGACTTTTTTGATCGCAGTTAAAAAATTTTTGGAACACCGAACATCATCTTCAAGCATTACATAATAGTCTGAAGTATTGGCACAAAAATTAAGCAGAAATGCATAGTCTACATTTTGCTTGGAGCGAAATCTGACTCTATCTTCTGGGTCATTGTAATTTCTTTTAAGACCATCCAAAACTGGATAATATTCTTCAGGAGCATGTATAACAATTAATCTTCCTGCAATAATGTGATGGGCAAATTTCTGCATAATATCTTGGACCATCATGTCACGCCAGGATGAATTAAAGTCTGCTAGATGCACCACTACTGAAATTTCCTTTAATTCCTCATAGCTGGACTGTTCAAAAATTGATTTTATTGTCTCAAGTAAATAGTTTCCCTTTTTCCGTTTCACTGATGAGAGTCCAATTGTGAGATATCCTGAGCAAAATAAATCAGAGGAAGACAAATAAAATGTTAATAGGTTTCGAATAATGTAACAATAGGAATCAAATAACCAAGATTTACTTTCTTTAGGCCTGCAATTATAGTTAGTAAATCTAGTAGATGATTATGTATTGAACATTTTAAGATTAGAGTATTAAACTCGTTTATCAAGGGCTACAGTGTTTTATGTACATTATGTACATGAAATACAAATTATATCTCTTGAGCAATCTAATATGTACCTTATCAATATTGTTTTTGAATTATGAAAATGAAAGTATTCTAAAATATTCTCTATCTTAATATCCCTATATATTACCATTATAAAAGAGAGACAGAAGTTTAGATACAAACATATTTACAAACAAGTCAGGCACAGCACTTCACATCTATAGTCTTAGCAATTGGATGATGGAGCCGGAAGGACTGCCCTGAGTTTGAGCATAGTTTGGTATTCACTTTGACTCAAAAACCAAAACAAGATGAAAACAAATGAACAGTGTAAAAAATAATAAATAGTATGTACAAAAGTAAAGGGAATTTTATAGTTAAGGCTTGCAAGCTAGACTCAAGTAGTGAGAAAGAAAAAAGACTGGGCATTTATTTAAATCATCTACAAAATTTCCAGAGACTGTATATTTCAGTTTCCATATCACATCACTATCTTTACTCAAAGAATTAATAGGCAGACTTCATAGTTGTATTTTGAAATTTGCCTGATATGTCTTATAAAAAATAAAGTTTCATAGAATTTATTTAAAAAAAAATAATCGTATCACTCCCCAAACACATGGTTCCAAGCTATGAATTTACTGTGCCATTTGTTTTGAAAGATATTTTGCACTGATATTCATTGGAAAAAGTTTTCTTAGATTTAAGTAAAAAAGCAAGAACTGGATATTTTTAGGGTAAAAAATATTCCCAAGTGCATACTGTCTACCCCTGACAAGCATTATCATCTTTCTAAAGTCTAATTTTATATCATGAAGATTCAATAAAATTTCTTAATAACCATTGGGTGAAAACAAATATCTTCATATGTGTAAAGCTTAGGGAGTTAATATGGGCCTTTTCCTGATACAATAGGTATGTATAACAAGCCCAGCAAATGTCATTCCTCTCTTCTGCCATTCCTATCTGGGATGTATAATGTAAGTCACTGACACCCAGTTAACAATCTGTTGTGTTCCTGCCAATCTGCAGTGGTAACCACATGCTGGATGAAACTTCATTCTTTGTGCTTTTAATTCTACTCTTTTAAAACCCAGACCACACAGAAGCCACTTAAAGGAGATCTACATTTTGAATGTTTGTATTTTTTCCCAATAAGAAAATCTTTTTCATATTGGCTTGAGTAAAACTTTGCTGTCTTCCTGAATCCTCCTCAACTCGAATTTTAAGATGACAAATCATTGGAACAATCATAATGTTTATGAGAGTGCCAGTAATTAAATCTCAACTTCTGGCAACCAGAACCATGAGACAATAAAAAAAATCTCCTAGCTTATGATAATCTATGATAACCCTTTATAAAATAGTACACTATCAAAATCACATTCAAAATTACTAAATTTACTAAAAAAAAAAGAAAATGAATACTTAAAGTACACAAAACTGCTAATTAACTATAAATTGCAACACAAGAAATATTGTATCAGGATAAATGCAAATTTTTGTTATAATGTTATAAAAGTATTAAAAAAAATAAAAAAAAATTATAAAACCAAACTATCAAAGATTGGAAAGGAAACAACATAGAAATATTTTCAAGTTAAGTTTCTGATTTTAAAGTCAATGGATAATTATTTATCTCTTTTATGGCCTTATAATAATTTTTTAAATGCTTTTAATTAAAATTTGGTATGTTAACATTTACTGGGTCAGAAAGCTTTTGCAAAGTTTAAAGAATGTTGGATCTTTCTTAAGCTATAGATATCACTAATCTCTTAATCTTTTGCTAAAGAAACATAACAAATTATCATTATTTTTATGCAAATTTCAGTGTTTAATGAAATTTTTATTAAAAATAATTAGGGATACTTACGCTTTCTCTGTAAAGGTGTTGCAGCTAGGTAGCGATAGGTGACATTTATGGTTCCTGAGAAGTTAGATAAATCCTTGAATGTGTGGACATAACGTTCAGAATTAAGTTGATGTGTGGATGTTTCTCTTATGAGCTGCTTGTCACCTTCCTAAATTCAAAAAATGTACAGGCAAAATTAATAAACAATAAGTGGCCACAGATTAGGTGACTATCTACTTACACAATGGAGATATGTCTAGTGTGACTATTTAGAAAGTCACACTTTGTAAATGTGTGTAAATCTCAATTATTAGCCCATAATCACAAGGTCATTAACATTGACCTGATTTCTTACCTTTAGCTTCTGCTTTAAACTTTCTCACATTTAATCATTATTTTGAAACCCATTTGTTTTTCTATAGCATGAACTATTGTTCTATTTTTCAGCAAATCGATCCTTACTTGAAAATCCCCATTGCCAACACTTTAAAATTCTGAAATTTTCAAAACATAAAATTTGATGATGATCAGTTTGCAGCTTTCACCTGAGGTTATTTCCTTCCAGATTCCTCAGAATTTGAACCATATTAATCTACTTACCCTTCTACAATGGCTTTCAAATGAAAAAAAAGGTATTGATTATAACATTTAAGGAAAGGGTAGGAAGTGTTAACTATAAATAAACAATTTAGATTAGGAGAGATTTGTTACAAAGTTTTATTGACTCATTTACAGATGATCTTATAAGGCCATTGTGGTGGATTGAATGAAAGTAACCCCCATTTGCTCATAGGCATTGACACTATTAGGAGGTGTGGCCTTTAGGAGTAAGTGTGGACTTGTTGGACTAAATGTATCACTGAGAGTGGGCTTTGAGGTTTCAAATGCTCAAGGCAGTTCCACTGTCACTGTGTCTGTTACCAGGAGATTGGGTTGTAGAACTCCTAGCTACATCTCCAGCACCATGACACCCTGAATGAAACCATGCTTCCTGCTCTGATGGCAATCGACTAAACCTCTAAGCCTGCAAGCCAGACCCAATGAAATTCTTTCCTTTAAGAGAATTGCTGTGGTCATGGTGTCTTTTCATAGTAATAGATCATTGACTAAGACAGCCACATAATTTCAAATTGTTGAGAACGGATAGCCATCATCCTTTTGACATAAAATTGCTCATCTAAATATGTCCTCCAATAGCATCAATTAGAGTACATTTGTGCCTAGTCAGAATGAGTGGAGATCTTGTTGGCATCTCATCTTTCTTATTGTCGTCTTTCTCTCTGTGTGTATATATGCACATGTGAATACTTGTTTTTGTTTGATGTTTTGGCTAAGATAATAAATTAAGATTATTTATATTCATTACAATTAATGTTTTGGCGGTGGAATTTTGTGTCATTACATCAACAGAAGTACTTACATTTAAGAAAAATTTCAAATTCAGGTTAACTATGTCCTGTTAGTCATTATTTGCTTTTGCTTTCTCTAAGCTTTGATACAAGTTCAATGGCAGATTTTGATGATCTGATGAAGTTATTATTGGCCATACCTTATTAGATTATTTTTTTGGTCATATATACTGTGATTTCCTACCACATATTTTGAGAGAATCTGATTGGGAAGCCATGTTTCTTTTTGGTAAGTTGTCCACTTCACTGTGTGTTGTTAAGTAGATACATTTCTAGTGCTTGTGGTAGCAACTTATGTGTCAAGTGCAAGCCACTAAGACTATAGAAAAAGTAAATTTTTTAAATAAATTTTGCCTTGAGTACTTATCTGTGGTCAATAAAACTTTAATTAAATCTACTCTAAAAGATTGGATAAGATTCAGACACAAGTTTTACCTTGATTAGAGCACTGAATACTTAGTTACTGACTCAAAGGGGAAAAACATAATTAAACTTTAAAATCCATGGGCACATGTTTTTCATAGGATAAAAAAAGAATTACTGGAATATAACAGGAGAGCTAAGAATTCTTAACTATGGGCTATACAATTAAATGAAGGAAATTCAATCCTACAATCTTTCAAATATTTAAGTATTATCATGAAATTTATTCTGTCTGTGCTAACATATTTCTATGTTTTATATCATTTTAATAATTTGAACAAAGACATTTTAACAAGGTTTATACGATATTTATCATGTTCAAAAGCAATATACATCTGAAATATCAGCAATACAAGATTAAATAAAAATTTCTTTAAAAAATATTATTTGAATATTCACTGAATTCTGATTATCCTAACTCTCTCATGCATAAATAATTTTATCTATTTCTCTAGATCAACAGGTATATGTATTTAATTAATGTATTAAACATACAAGTTAGAATTGCTACAAAGTAACTACAAATTATCACATAGATTAATTCAACAATAATGTAATAGTGTATATCAATATTAAAAGACATTTCTACAAACCCACAGTTGTCTCTACACTGTATACATTTTTATATTCTGTTATTACATGAGGTTACATGCTAAAGAAACCATAAGATACTGAGTGTTATTTTTAAAAATTCTTTCCTGAGCATGTAAAAGTCTGGACCTTTTCTCTGATAAATTGGAATATATTCATTTTGGTTGAAGGACGAAGCAGAATATAAAATGAAACAGAACTGATATAGAAGTAATTAATTCAGTTCTCAAGAACAAGCTTCCTAATACTTTTAGCATCAATAAAAATGTAACTTTCACCTGAGCCTGTCTGGTTGGCTGCTTTCAGAGGCGACTGACTGAACATCCAGGCTCCCTGGATGCCTTCTTTTCTGCAGTAACTATGCTATAGTGTGTGTCTCGGTAATAAGGCAAAGCTTTATGACAATCATTTTCTGGATGGTAATACAATTCAATGGACTCACTACAGTCTAAATATATACCCTGGTGGCTACTTTGAAGATGCTCACAGCTGAGAGGCTATGTTGATTGGGCATGCAATGTCTCTGCCACTTAGTTTCCTTGTAAAGTATTTGTCTCTTCCTTGAGTTATGTTTCCCTTCCGACTGAAAGTCATTTATCTTTCTAAAACTAAAACAAATATACCAAGACATTAATATGCCTATAGTTTCAAACCACAAATAATATTTCTATCAAAAAGAGAATTGAATGTGGTAAATTAGACTACTAATTCTGTTCATCTTATTTCTCAGAATTACAAGTATTGTTTCAGCAATACAAGAGAAAGACACTGCAGTTTATGCTTAGAAAATTGAATGCACTATGACATTATGGAGGCAAGATAAAAACCCAAGAGAGATAAGCTTATGAAAAATAAAATGAAAGAGGAAAGAGGAAAAGTGTTAAGCAGAAACTATATTGTATTTTATTACCAGAGATGGTTTTCAATAAATATTCACATTTAAGAAGTGCATATTATAAAATAAGATTTATTTGTGTAGAAGTTGTATAAATTGGGTTACACAACTCTGCATTTTGATTGGTTGCGATTTTCTGTAGTGATCTCTGTGTGTTGCAAAGAAAAGTTTTCTTGATGAGGGGTAAGAAGCATGCTTATCTCTGGGTATAAAGACAAATATTGAGAATGTAGTTGGGGATCATGCTGGTTTTCTACAGTGATGGTTCTCTTCCAAGATCCATAAATTCACTGGCCCTGGGCAGGAGGCTAGGTTTCCACTATTAGGTATGATTTCCCTTATATCAAGTGGGTCTTAAGTCCAATAATAGAGCTCTTGTTTGCCACAAAGCTATGCATGTCACTATTATATGTTTGGGGTTCTGCCCCATGCCTGTCATAGCAGTGGTTCATAGGCATCATAGCTGGATAAGGACACAATTTCTATACCTAAGCCTTAGGGACCTGTTGTGGAAGAGGTGGTGGAAACACTTTAAGATCCAGAGGGGAAAATGGAGTTTGCCATAAAATTCTGTCTTCTAGGAATCACAAGCTACACTAATAAAGTCTCACCAACATGATTGCCAAAACTTGTGCTGAACAAGGACAATAACAATAGATATGCTAGTGTGGATGGGGAAAAGCCCACTAGGTCTCAGTTCTACCCAAAGAACTACAGACAACTAAATAATGCAGAGAACAGGAGAAATAGTCTTCTCCTGGAGAAAAAAAAAAAGAACACTAACTGGTTATCCATTACCAAATGGGGCACACACACACACACACGTGTGTGTGTGTGTGTGTGTGTGTGTGTGTGTGTGTGTGTGCATGTGTGCACAGGCACACGTGTCCATAACAGCAATTAAAAACAGGATAGGATCAGAATTTGAAAGAAAGCTAAAATGGGTATTTGGGGGAGTTTTTAGGGGAGATGTAAGGGGAATATTGTAATTATATGATCTAAAAATAAAGTAAATAATTTTAAATGATTATTTATTTTTATTGTATTTGTGTGTGCCTACATAAATTGATGTGCAGTGCAAATATGCAAATGGCATTGGAGTACAGAAGAAGGCATTAAATTTCCAGGAACTGGAGTTTCAACGGTTTGTGAGCCACAGTGTGGGTGCTGAAAATATAATTCTGAGTCCTCTGAATTATCATTAAGAACTCTTAAACACTGAGTCATGTTGTCAGCCTTCTTGAAATATAGTTTTTATGAAATTTAACATTATTGATTGAAAGAATATGGTAACTCCATATAAAGACTTATGGGCTGAAGTTCATCATGAAATACAGTTTTACCTACAAATCTACTAAACAGATCAACAAATTAAAATACCATTAATGAATTAACATTAAAGATGTATTTAACATTCTGTATAATTTACTTATATAATTAAAATGATCAAATTTAATCCTAAGTAACAACCTTTCCACTCCACTTATACTGCTTTTCAAATTTGATTAGTGATATGTTTTATACTAATAGAAACATTTTAGTCAAACAATACTCTTTAGTAGAAAAATCTATAATAACTTCATACATTAAAATGATGTCGTTTTGACCATGCTTAGAGGACTTCACTAAACTTCTTAAACCAAGACACCAATTTCAGATTTTTCTTACTGAATTATACATCTAGTATATTTTAATTTAAAGAACCCTTATGATATAAGTATATTTGTTGTTCCAAATACAAAAATATATTACACACTGGGACTAGATAATTATGTCTAATACAACCTAGTTAATAAATACTATTTTGAGGTTGTCAATAATATTATAGAAAATTTGTTTGTTTTTTAAAGAACTTTAATTTGGCTATCTAAGAAGAAGGAAAGGATTTTGAAGGATTCAGCGAAGGGGGAGAATATGATCAAAATACATTTATGTATAATTTTTTTAAATAATAAGAAAAATAAGAAAACAAAATTTTAATAATAATATTGATAAGTGGCAAAATAAAGGGTATTATTTTCAAGAAAATTTCAATAGTAAGTTGTAAAATAGGGAGGGTAGAAATAATGTTATCAAGAAAAATTTGTTTAGTCTATACATTTCACATTAAAGTTCAATGATTTTAATATTTTAATATATATGAAATTAGTATATACTATCTGTATATATGATATATATAATATATCAAAATTTTTATAATGTAATATATGACTATATATGTATATGTGTGTGTGTATCAGCCACCATCTAGTATTTAAGAAAAAAATAAACCAGAGTAAAACAGGCTCAGTGTTGACATTATATGGCTAAAAGTATACATTTAGGATATATGCATAAATAATTCTACTCATATGAATACTGTCTGTTATATCAAGGTTGGGGTACAAGCAGACTGACACAAAGTTCACTGAAAATGTTTTTTGAACTAAAAATAATGTCTCCAAAACTTACCAGAACATAGCTATCTTCAATGTACAAGTTCATGAATAGAAGAAAAACAACAAGAACTCCCAAGAAAGACACTGTAGAACGCTTTCGCAAGCATCTCATTTTATCCAGCATTTGAAAAATATATTTCATTTGATAAAATTTAAACATCTTCTCCTGTGGAAAAGAGGTAAAAAAAATTACTAGCAATTAATTTACAGTGTGAATATTATAATCTCATCATTCAAATATTTGAGCTAAAATTTCATTTCAAAGTTCATACATAATATTAGCATTTATCAATGCATCATATATATCTACATTCTCAGGGTTAATTATAAAGACAGCAAGTGGATTAATATAGAAGAAAGGAAACAAAACATTTTTTGAACAATTTACTCTCTAAGAAGTAAAATATAACCTATATTTTAATACAATGTGTTTTTCCAATCTAATACAATTTCATTACTTGGAATTACAGAATCTCATTAAAATAAAAAATATGAGGGGTGGAAGAAGACAGCAACATGAAGCCAGGGTAGCAATAAATCTATAACTCAAAGCTAATGTAAAATTTGCCAAAGTTTAAATTCTTTACATCTCACTTTTAGAATACCTAATGAAATATTAATGGTTTGTTAGAATGGGCATCGTTTCCTCAGAATACTTTCCAGCTTCTAACTTGCCATGTCTAAGTACTTCCAATTCCGTAATTATTGAGTATGACACATGTAATTAAAACCAATGTTATAGTGGAGTTCCTCTTCATAATATAAGATGACGGGAGCTGAAGAGCAGGGCTTGGTTTTGGTTGTGTTATATTGTACTGCACTGCACTGTATCAATAAAAAGCCTAAGAGTGTCTACATGAAAGTCATAAAATCAAGCAAATACCATAAGATTGGGTGAGTTAGGATGGAAGTCCAACTCTGAAACAGTTTTGAAATGAAAGCAGTGTTTGGAAGTGAATGTGATTCAGGAACTTTGAAAGAAAGATTTTAGGAACAGTCTGATGACTATGGAAACACTAAAAGTCTAAGTTAAATGTGTCTTATGGTTCTGGATGTAGCCTTGCCATATACAACAAGAGCTGATTTCTTACCCTCACTATTAAAACAGGGAATTATGGCTTGAATATAGCAGTAAAGGTTAATGGGAGGCAGTTACCAAACATAATCCATATTTTTTAAATTGTTCTAAAGTTACAGTGGTGACTTTTGCCATTCTTAAAATAATTGAGAGTAATTGTAAGGCAGGGTTCAAGTGATGCCAACCATCAAAATACAGTTAGGGCTAATGTCTTAAAAGGTAGCCAAAGTTTGAGATATACTATTAATGTTTGAGAAAATGTATATTGTTGCTAACTTAAACTGTTACTTTATTGTGATAAATAGCCCCCTCCCCCTTTAGTTCCTTCAAACTGTTAAAATACCAGCTCAATAAAAGAAATCTCATTGCAGACCCCTGAGGCTGTCTTTCTGTGTGTCTGTCTTGGAGTTTACTCTCCCATTAGGTCTTTCCTTTCTCTTACATCTGCTTGTAAATTCTTCTCCACCTAGTCAGCTCAAGAAATTCACACTTGGGTAATGTCTCCTTGGGCCATAGATTAGAAACTGTTAGTGGGTGGCTAATATCACCACTATATTTGTTTCTTTTTTAAATCAAAGTTTATTACTCAATTCTGTTTGATACCAATGTCTGAAGACACTGCTTCATAGGTGCTAGTCTAGTGTTTTGGTTGTTTAAGGAAATTAGAAATGTAGCGCTTATTTCTTACTGTGGTCACAAGCATCTTCCTGGTAAAGAGCTCTTTAAAATTTCCTCTATTATCTTGAAAAGAACTGCTTTATTATTGTCTTTCTTCATTTATTGCTAATCAAATCCAATCTGTCTTTATTCCTAATATAAATGGACTGTTTGACTTACAGGCTTGTTAAATATTTCTTTATCTTTCAATTTGAATCAAAAATCTCTTAAAGTTATCTATTCCTATTTGAACACAGCACCCAGGGTTTAGTTGGAAAGTTTATCAAGAAACAGACTACTGTTGATCACTTGAATCATTTTGATATTGAATTATAGGTTTTATTTTTAAAGAGATGTAAGGGATATAGTATAAGAGCTGTATGTGAAAGTTGTATGTTATAAAGATGCAAAAATATAATCAGTTAAAACTGGATTGTGTGGAAGAGTTTGGAGAAATGTGTTAGAAGAGCCTTAGAATGCTGTAAGCATAGCTTGATGGGATATACTGGTGGGAGAACAAGATGCCATTTAAAAATGAGTAGGACCATGTTCTGGTCCTGACTGAGCTCTGCTTCCTGAATGGACAAGATACAACTGGGGTTGCCATAGACTTCTACAGACTAGGTCTGAACCACTTTATTATCATGCCTTCCTGCCATGATGAACTGTATATCCTGAACTGTAAGCAAAGGTCACCTTTCTTTTTATATACATCTACACTCTATAGAGAACAAGTATGAGTTAAAGAACACAAATTAAAGGAAATATGATAGGTATGGAAATAAAGAGAATAAAATGGCACTAATATCATAACTAAAAACATTAGAAAACACTAACTACTAAAACAAAATATCAAGGCTTCTAAATACCAATAGGGCAAATTAAAAATCCTAAAAACAATTATATAGGAAATATATTTAATATTTTTAAGTAATAGAATATTATTTTGCTAACAGTTTTGAATAACATATCAGTAATATCAATAAATGCAAATGGACAGCTTATATTTTAAAACAAAAGATTCTTGCATATGCATATACACAAACACATGTGTATGTGCACCCCCCCACACACAGTGTGAACCCTAAGTTTAAGCTGCACAACAAAACATACAAAAAACTGAAGTCATTTACAAAGGCTAGTGACAATGGAATGAACAAAATAGAGTAATCAAGAAAGACAAGGAAACATGGTTTGATTTAAATACAGTTGAATATAAGCAACAAAAGAAAGAAATGGCATAATTATCACTTTACAATACCAAATGCTACAATTGTGAACAAGATATTGTTATATTACATAGTGAACAACTTTCTTCCTCTAGAAGACCTAATGCTAAAAGTGAAATCTTGTTAGATTTTTCATCTTACAAACGAGGAAAATAGCCAAATATCATACTAGCAAAATGTACAAATAAGAAAATTCTTGGAAATTATAAGTATTGGTGTGTGTTCTACACTAGGGAAATTTATATTGTCTCAAGTCATCACCATTTAAATATTCTTTTTGCTTTTAAACAGAGAATTTAGAAAACCCAAATTAGTTATTTCTATTAGAAATATTTATGTGCTTTGGTTAACCAAGCATATATAATATATAAATATCTTTTCTATTGGATTCTAAACACTAATTGAAAATGATCCATCCAAGGAGGAGAAAATCGCATCCATTGACCTATTAGTGGTTATCATGGTATGGTAGAAACTTGATGAAGAGCAATGAAGAGATAAAACCCAGCTGAGTCCAGCAGAATAGAAATTTCTGATGGCCTGAGGTGCACTCTGAACTCAGACTTTATATTTGGGTAGACGCCAAAAGATCATTCCTCATAGAGAGGCTGTGTATAAATAGACAGCAAGTTGATATCATTCACCCCTCATCTACTAATAGGAAAACACACCACATTTAATAAAGCATACTTAACACCTCACCCCACACAGTCTTGTAGTGTTAAACTAAATTTTTGATATATAGTTGTAAATAAATGAACATGCATTGATAATATAAATTTCATCTATCACACAAATACCTGAGAGCATCAATCATAATAATGTCTTTGTGTCTTAAGCAGTGTTTTGGCTCAATATGCCAAAATATCTTACTAAAATTTATTTCCTGGTATAGTGACAATACTTGAAAAAATACTCATATTTTTTTCTTTTATTTTTTAAATATACTTTTAATATTGAAATATAACTACATTACTTCCCCTTTTCCCTTTTTTGTCTTCAGCTCCATCCATGTCCCTTCCCACTAGCTCTTCCCATATATTAAATATCACATATTTGGCTAATGTAGAAGAATGCAATTAGTATTATGATGATTTGAATTATCTTCTGAAGCTGATAAATCATCTTTGCATACCTGCTCCTAAACTTGAAATGACATCACAGGCATTGTGACACCCAAGGACCACTCTAGATTTGAATGTTATGTGGGGATTTCTGTGGAGGTCTGTCGGTGACCTTAAGGGGTGCTCTGTAACGGTCTCTGATTTCTCATTGGGAATAAATCAAGAAATCTCAGTTCAAAATAACAAAGCAGAAGCAGGACCATCATCCAGCCCTGACAGAGCACAGAAATCAGCTTTCTGTCCCATCTAGGTCCCAGGATGTGTGGATCAAAAATATACATGCCGAACCCAGAATATGCCTTTTTGTCTTTTTCTGCATGAAGTGGCATAGGTATCCAAAGTCTCTTTGCTGTGGAAAATGCTTTTGTACACTGGTTTAATAAAATGCTGATTAGCCAGCAGCTAGTCAGGAAGTATAGGTGGGTTAAGCAGACAAGGAAAATTCTAGGTAGAGGAAGGCTGAGTAAGCAGCCCATCCAGGGAACAGCCTGTAATGGCACACAGGTAAAGCCACAGAACATGTGGCAACATATAGATTAACAGAAATAGGCTGAGTTTAAATGTAAGAGCTCTTCAGTGGTAGGCCTGAGCTAATGGCTGAGCAGTTTTAATTAATATAAGCTTCTGAGTGATTATTTTATAAGTGGCTGCGGGGTCCATGGGGCTGGGCAGGACCGGAGAAAACTTCAACTACATCTCTTCAAACGTGTTTTATTTATTTTTTCACTACTAGTATATTTGGACTTTCTACTCCATGAGAAGTAGACAGGGGACTCTGAAGAGGAGTGAGGAGAATTTGGGTGTCAGGGAAAGTCGAGGCCTAAATAGATTTTGAAATCCAAATTGCAGTTCTCTCATCCTGTGTTCGAACAGTGCTTTCTTTGAGGAGAAATAGCCAGATTGCTCTGTGTTTTGGTAACTGCATTTCTTCTACATTTGATAATAGCACTGATAACAATGAATTAGTTCCTTGTCAAAATAATAACAAGGAGGAACGTAAAGCAAGGCTCAAAGTGAGGATGCTGATGTGTTTTCCAGAGAACTTGGCTGCATCTCTTCCTGCTGTGCCGTGGGCATG